ACAAGGACCAAGAAACTGAGCCCAGAGTTTGCATGTGGTTCTTGGAAGGTCTGATCTCAAACTACAGAATGAGCAGGAATCAAGCTTCCAGAACTTTCTCTAGCAGAGCCAGTTCCAGTGATCCATTCTTCCTCAGAGAACAATCAGACTATTTGTTTTTGCACACAACTAGGCTAAATGCACACAGAAGCACCCAGCATTATCTTGGTAAGGAACACTGCTCTGGGGGGTGTGCAGGCGTGGCCTGTGGCACCCAGTTCTCTCAGGATCAGCACCTTCCCAGACTGGCCTGGCCGAGTTAAGAGCCTGTGGTGCTGCAGGAGCCTTTGGCCCAGTGGGCATGACCCAAGCTGCCCACTGGACTCTCTCTGGTTGTTGGGACAACCATCCCCAGGAATTTTGGCCCCCAAGTTGTCCCCTCGGTGAGAAGGAGAGAGACTTGGCAAGGCAGGCTGCCTGGCAGCTCTTCCAGCCCCCCTGGTGAAAAGGAAGCTGAAAACTGGATTCCCTACCCCCAGCAGCCTCCATGCCGGACAGCACACAAAACAGCTCAGCCCAGAGGGAGGAATGTGCCAAGACATTCTTTAGAGTTGGTAACCAGAGATGCTATTTTGTCCTCCGTGGCTAAGAAATCACTTTTCTGACTGAATAACTATTTGACTGACTTCTTTTCAATTCAGGGGAATGGGTGGGCATTGCCTTGGTTCATATAAGGGAAACACTGAAGTACACACATACACAGGACTGAGGAGTGGGATGTTTTCAAAGTAATTTTTTTTATTCATAGCCCAGTCCCAGAGATGGCAAAAATTTAACAGTTCCTCCCTCTACAAAGTGTGCCTATTTGGCCATTTTTACATTTCTTCCTTCTGTATTTCTTCATAGTCTCAAACTTATCTCACTCACCTCCACTGGCCCCTGGCTCCTATCCTGCCATGGAACTAGGGTGTTAAGGAAGCCCAGACATCTTATACCCTGTCTGAGAACTGGCAGGGCTCAAGTCAAGCCAATCACATTGCCGTCAAGTTGCTTCCAACTCACAGTGACCTTCCATCAGGTTTCCAAAGGTGGCGTTCTTAACCAGGGGCAGACTACATATTCGTCCTTCTGAGAATCCACGGATTTGAACTCTTGACCTCTCAACAGCCTAGTGCATAACTCACTACTTCAGTCACACTCATAGCTGGTTCTAACTCATAGCAGACCTCTCTTTGGTTTTTGAAGCTGTAAACTGCAACATGAGACTGCCCATCTTTCTCCTGAGGAGCAGCTGGTGGATATGATTAGAAGCAACCAGCCTTTGGGTTAGCACAACTTGCTACAGACTGACACCACCAGAGCTCCCCAACTCATTATTACTTCTTGTAATGTGTTATGTTAAACAAACAGATTCATCCTGGAGAGGGTTAAACCAGGCTGCTCCTTGGAGGCAAGGATTCTGGGGCTTCATCTGACACACTCCGGACATGCTGTAAGGAGGGACCCGTCCTTGGAGAGGGGCATCATGCTTGGGAGGGTGGAGGGACAGCGTAGGAGGGGAAGACCCTCTATGAGGTGGATTGATTCAGTGACTGGGATAATCGGGATGGGTGTGTCAGAGGCAGTGCGATTGGCACAGAGCAGACAGAGCAGGGTTTAGGGCTGGTGTACATAGGGTTGCTATGAGTCGCCTGCAACTCGACGGCACATAACAACAACAACAACAACAACAACAACAACAACAATGTGTTATGTGCTGTTGAGTTGAAATCTACTCATTACTGACCCTCCAGAGGCTGTAAATTGCACAAGAAGAATGACTGCTCATCTTTCTCCCGTAAGCAGCTGGTGGATTTGAACCATGTACCTTTGTGTTGGCAGAGCAACTCCTTGCCACTAGTTCACCAGAGCCCCCTAACCCATTAACTATAGAACACTTAATCAACTAGCTTCTCAATGTAGAATTTGTGCCTCAGAGAAGTCAAGTAATCTGCCCGATACCACATAGTCGGCTGTTCATACTGCCAAATGTATTTTGCAAAATTAAAATTCTGAAAAGCCACTGTGTAACAATGACCTCTTTGGCTGACTTTGGAACCCCTGCATACCCTAAGCTCAGGGCCTCCACATTAGCCCTTGTGGTTGCAATGACTAGAATATGCAAAGATATATAATGCGGGTGAGGGAAACCCAAGAAAACAAAAGCAAAAACACATTGAATTGCAAATAGAGGAAGGTGAGGACCTCAGGCACCAGTAGCCACTCTATCTCTTCTCCAGTGCTTGCCAATCTGCTGAGAAACCAAGACTAAGCAATCCTGGTGCAGGGACTGGGTGGACAACATATCTAGATAAAATATAAAGACTCTGGTTTGATTTATGTTCCCTGTACTTACTGAGGTGACCAATTGTGACGGAAGTCACTATGTTTCACATTCGTAAACTATGGTACAATATTTTTACAAATGAGTTGCTCTAACACCAGAGAGTATGTAAAAAACAGCATAAAGTGGTATGTGGATGTAGCAAAAGAAAAAAAAAACCCAACAAAACAAAACCCACACCATGAAGGTAGTTCACATAATATTAATATTTGTGAAAGTGATCTAGCCGAATCAGCTTTCCATAGAAACCACCTGATTGCCTTCATCCAAAGGAAAAGAAGTTTTTCTCTTGTTTGGGAAGCTTCAGTCTTGCATTTATTCATCATCTCTGAGATGCAATGCCTGGGGCAAGTCAGCAATATTAGATGTGGGGCTGTCCTAGTCCTGCGAACCAGTGGCCTAAGTTAGATAAGGATAGAACTTGTGTCTTTCCTAGAAGAAAGACACTCTGGTGCTACAGGTAAAGAATTGTACTGCTGATACATGGGTATGCAGATCAAATCCACCAGCTGCTCTGGGCAAAAAAGCTGGGCAATGACTTCCTAGGTAATTTACTGCTTCTGACAATGTGCTGGAGGACCAGCTAGGCGTCAGTTCAAACTACAGTAAACAACATCCTAGAAGAGGCCAAGGAAAAGGTGATCAGGGAAAGGCTGACCAGTTCACCAGAGTGGTAGCTGAGCCCCTGGTGGGGAAGTGATCTGGAAGGGGCAGTGGGGGAAGAGGGAGAATGTGTGTGGAAGGCATGCCTGGAGGCCAGAACTTTAGAGCTGGTGAAGAGCTTGGTGTTTACACAGGGTGATGGAAAGACCAAAACACTTGAGCAAATCATATCACTTGGCCTTCCAATATTTTTTTTATTTTTAATGTTTGAAAATGGGAGTTGGGCTCTGACTTCCTATATTACAGTTCTTAGAAATCCCATAACAGCTCTTCCCCCCACCCCCAAGCAAACCATTAACCTGACAAATAGAGAAACTGAGAAGCAGAAGTTATGGCAACTCTTCTTAGTAGTAAGCCTTTTCTTCCATTTGGCATGTTGTGAAAAGGTAACCAATTAATGAATGAACTTAGATAGATGCTCATTCTAGGAATCTCAACTCACATTTTCTCTCTGCTTTGTCCTCTTTTTTTTTTTTTTTTTACCACTACTTTCTAAGTAGGGAGCTCTGGTGGCTTAGTGGCCAGAAGGTGCGCTGCAATCCCAAAGGTATGCGCAGTTGGAGGCCATCCACCAGCTGCTCTGCGGGAGGATGGGCAATCTCCTCCCCTACAATTAACTGCCTCTGAAAACCCGCTGGAGGGTCAGCTATGGGTCGGTTCCAGCTCTACAGTACACAACAACTTTCTACATACAGGTGCTCTGATGTGGTGGAGAAACTGTACTGCAATCCCAAAGCCATGCAGTTCAAATCCACCAGCTGTTCCACTAGAGAAGATGGACAATCTCATTCAGATTGATTAGCTGCCACTGAAAATTCGCTGGAGGGTCAGCTATGGGTCGGTTCCAATTTAACAGTGTACAACAACAACTTTCTACATACCCCACCCTGGTCTTCTGGAGCTTCCATCCAATTCCACAAAAAAGGTCCAAACAACTAGCCCTGGCTGCTTGACAGATACTCCAAGGTCACATTTTGGGCAAGGGTAAGTAAAAGTTAACACATTCCTGAAGACTTTGATTTCTCCACAGACCACTTCAGCAAAAGGCCCCAAAGTGGTCCCCTCGGGGTGCCCCCCAGGGCATGTATGCATGAGCTGGAGATGAGAGTTCGCTGTCAAAACCAAAAGAAAGTCTGGAATCAAGCCTCAGCATCGCAGATTCCATATGCCTCGGAAAAAGGAAAAAAAACAAAGCTGGTGCTACAGCCGGCCTAATGCCCACCAAGGTCAGAGCGAGCTGACGCAGGGTTGAGGATCCAAGGTCCCCAAAGGCATGTAAGAAAGGAGGAGGAGAAACCGTGCTGGGCTTCGCGGGAGGCCTCTCACCTCCATCAACGTCCTAACAGCTTTAAGTTGCAGTGAGATTCCTGGAGAACCAGTCTCTCTGATGAGCCCTCCCCCGCTCCTTCCTTCCCTTCCCATTCCAGGCCCCCCTGGCTGCCCGGGCTCTTCTCAGCAGCACCTGCCAAAACACACACTCCACTCTGCTGTCCCCTCCTCCAGCAATTTCTCACCGAATCCAGGGTTCCTACCACCCCCTCCAAATCAGATGCTTCCCCATCCCCCCAGATGCCGGAGAAAGTCTCCAGGCAAAGCTCCAGCCTCACACGGTTAGGTCCCACTCCCGCCCCCGCCCAACCTCTCCTCCTAAAGGGGGCGCTGGGCGGGGCTAGAGTTTAAGGTCAAAACTCCTGGCAGGTGCCCGCTGGGGCCTAAGGAATTCCACCTGGGGTGGGGGTAGAGGCAGCCGGGGCGAGCACACTAGCTGCCCCCTCCTCCCGGCAGCCCACCAGGGCAGGAGCAACCCTTCAGGAGAAGCTCGGAGGGTGGACAATCTGAAGGAGGAGAGAATCTGAGAGCTCTGCGGATCTCCAGCTCCGAGTCGGATTCTACCAAGGGCGCCCAGTGCCGGCTGGTGGCCCCTGGAGCAGGTGGGGGCCCGGGCTGGTGTGTGAGGAGCAGCCCAGGGTCTTACCTGTCTCGCGGGTCGATCCAGCTGGTGGTGCGGCTCGTGTGGTCTATGTAGTAGACCTTGCCGTCGAAGTCGCGCGCCTCCTCCCAGCCCTCGGGTAGGGGCAGCTCCGGCCGGGGCATCTTCCCGATCGCGGCCCGCGCTCCCCCATGCAGCTCCGGGCCGCCGCGGAGACCCCTGGCTCAGAGGCTCAGGCCAGCTATCTCTGGCCCGAGCGGCCGATGAGGCACCATGTTCCAAGGGGCGGAGGTGGAGGTGCCCGCAGATCTGGTGCCCTAGTGCGGACCGGCCAGGGTGGCGCCGCTGTCCATGCGGCCCTGCAGCCCCGGCCCGGCGCCACCCGCTCCTCCCGCCGCC